CGGGCAAAACATGGGCAAATGCAAGGGTTGTGGGAAATTGGCAAGAATGCTGCCAAGAGATAGGACTCTAATTGCTTACCGGTCTTCCCTTCTTTTATCTCCTGTTGTTTCTGTTTGGGATTGCATCGTCCGTAAAATGAGGTATTCCTACAGACCCGAGTGGGTGTAGTTATTTGGTTTATAATATCATACTGGTTTCTAACACAAATTAAGTAGAATTATTTAATAGTAGAAGTAAAGAAAGAAAAAAGGAAAAGAAAACAGATATATAGGAAATGTATACGATTTAGAGGCCTTCTGTTAAAGAAAAGCATTTGAGCATAGGGGACTAAGCTTATAGTTTGTAGCAGCTATGGATAACATGGCATGTAATAAAGTGCAACCAGTTGTGAGAAAAGCAAAGAAGAAGCAAGTTAAAGATGAGTTGGATAGAATCAAACAGGCTGAGAAAAAAAAGAGGCGCTTAGAGAAAGCCCTTGCTACTTCTGCAGCCATTCGTTCAGAGCTAGAAAAGAAGAAACAGAAAAAGAAGGAAGAGCAGCAGAGGCTGGATGAAGAGGGTGCTGCAATTGCTGAGGCTGTAACTCTCCATGTCCTACTTGGTGAAGACACTGATGATTCGTGCAAGATCGTTTTGAAAAAGGAACAGGGGGTCAACGCATGGGACTGCGCTGGCAACATTGACCTATTTATGGCTGGAAGGAGAGCATATCTCCCCCATCAGGCGCGTACTAATTGTGCAGTTGAAGGAATTGGATGGGTCACGAATGCTTATGGATCTGACTGCAAGTGGAGTGAGCTGGGAAACGGCGATTGGTCATTCTTATATGATCCTTTTAGAAGGGATTTGCAGCCGCCATATTTTGAGGATAGAGGACGTGGTGATGAGGGATTCTCAGCCGGACTTATTGCAGCTCAGGCTGTTTCATCCCTCCAGATCTCAGAGGATGCAGAAGTAGACACAATTGTCCTCAACAGGGTATTAAGAGGATGATTTGAGCAAGTTTCAAACACACTAATAGCTGTCTGGTCACTTCATCAAGCTCTGATCATAGTTCTTCATAATGGATTGTATATATTAATCATCAACACATATGCCCGTGTTCACCGGATTGCTTCTTCAGTGTGGAACACTGTGACACCAATTTCGTTTATCTTTTAAAGTTGTTTGGGAAGATGCTTGTTTTTTGTTCATGAAATGGTACTATGTTGGTTGTAATCTCATAATCTTTGTGGAAAATATTGACTCTGTTCTATGGGGCTACTGCATACGTGATGTTAAGCTCTTAGTCGTGGATCATTCAATGTTGCAATATCTTCTTGCTTCCTGTAAGCATCTAATATTTTCTGCTTGAGGCTTTACAGGCGATATGTACAGTGAGTCTCTTGTTCACTTTTTCTTTTTTTTTTTTTTTTGGGTGTGATTAACAGATTTCAAGTTTGTCGTTAAGCCTATTATTAAGTTGGGCAGATTTCTTTTATATGTGATCGAAGGTCTTTTAGATTTTGCTCCTAATCTAAAACGAGGAGTTATCGATATGAAAATACCCTCTGTGTCTCACTAGCCGTTGGATAAGCCTGTTCATTATCTCCCTCCGAACCGTGTGCTACATAGCCTGTGGATTATTGGATTTACCATAGAGCCCCAAATTTTAATTTATTTTAGTAATTCAATAATCACGAATAGTAATCATTTAATATTGTCTAATTACTCTTCTTACAAAGTTAGCATCAAGTCAGTAGCTCCCAAGCATGATTAGAGATCTCTTGAAAAAAAGTACCTATAGAGCGTCAAAATTTGACACCCGCTGTGCCTATAAAAACCACTCATGCTACCAGCTGGTACTGTACAGAAACCAAGTAATTGCTTAGAGACAAAAATAATACATTTATTCTCTAATAATAACGATTGTTAGAAAGTTAGCATCAAAAAGAAAATACCACAGAGAATTCTATCTGATCAGTGACTGCTCCGTGTAAGTTAGTTTCCAAGTCAGCCAGCATTCGGCTACCCCTTACCCCTTTATCACAATTTATGAGTCACGGCAACAACAAAAATTTTCAAATTATAGACATATATATAGTCTTTTGTGACACTTCTGAAATATTTGCAAGTTAATTTTTTTTTTCTTATTTTACAGTAAACTGTTGATAGAAAATTGTAAAATAACGTAAAACTCGTAATGTTTTATGCCAAAAAAGAAAATTAAATTATATGGGGACTGTCAGTAAAAAAACCACAAAATTTATAAGTTGCAAATAGATCAAACTGTAACGAGCTCTTAAATTTACAACTGTAGTTCAGGTACAGTTTTTTTTAAAAAAACTTATAGATTACATGCTGATATAATAAACATTTGAAAAAACTTGCAGGAATTTCACTTTAAGTGGAATTACCCAATTAAAGACAGAATTAATCAAAATCCAGCACAGCAAACCACTCAAGTCAAACATCAAATTAATAAGGCACCAACCGGCCAGTAAAAATAATAAAAAAGGCAACGCTATTAGCTAGGTACCTAGCGCCAATAAGTAAGAACAAATGCATATACAAATGAAAGAGCACAAATTAAACCCAACAAAAATACTAATGAAGAAAAATAACACTCCATCTTGGCCTACAAAAAGGTGCAAGCTAACCCAAATATTAATTGACAATTTATAAGCTCATATTAGTTCTTATGGACATCATAGCACACATTTTGGTTGGGAAGATAAATGGAAAATTTTACATTGATACACAACAAATAACTCGTTGAATACCTTTTTCATGGTTTCAACTCATTTGGATGTTGAAGATGCATATTTTGAAAATATACCCTCATACATTGTGCCGTGAATTCTGTTGCAGCAACAGTTCTGCATCTTGACGCCTTTGTTGCCGATGTAGATCATCATTCTCATTCTGGTTCTCAATCTCTGTACTAGTAGATGGTTTGGCACCTGTCGTGATGAGGTTTTTAAACCAAGTAGCCTGAAATCCAGGGCTCCCTCTATTTGAATTGCTGGGAGAATCAGAAGCAATGCTGCCAACGTTGGAAGTCACACCCAAAAGAAAACGATAAGCCACTTTGCTAGCTGATACAATCTCTGTTTTTGCCTGTCTAAACTGCAATAACCCACCAGAAAAAAAACATGAATAACAACGATCAAACAACAAATTTGACAAACATAACTACAAGTTTTATAGCACCACTGCATGTAATATCATACATCTTTAAAACATTGCACAATCTTGGGTCACATCTAAGTTCAAAGATTGCACCGAAAGGCAAAATCTAGACTGCAATGAGAAACAGTACACCCAAAAATAGGTAGAACTGTTTTAAAATTCAGAACTTAGCTCTTGCAAAATGTAAACTGTATCAGGAATGCAAAATGTAAACTGTAACTAGTCACCAAACAATTACCAAGTCAAGAAATAATGTACATTATATAAAGAGCAATATATTGTCTGCTTTGATAAATTTAGATGAATCTGCATCTGCAAATCTATGTTTGCATAATCTTTTCATTCAAATGATAGGAAAGAAAAAAATTAGTATAACGAATGGAAAGAAGCTTAAAAACATCTCACCCGTAATGCTGTATTTCCTGCTACTTCCATAGCAGCATCACCAGCATTTGCAAAACGATTAACCCAACCTGTTGCAGCAATCAAAATAACATAAGCTGAAGGAAAGGGCAACTTTCTGTTAAACCACTAGACATTTCAAAATTGTCTCTCCCCCAGAAATCAGACTACAGACATATAATATAACAATGAACTTAATTTTTTCATCGACATAATGGTTAAGCTAATCCCTGCACAATGCTTGAACTGTTCAACATACAATCCAACCTCCAGCTTTACTAGCCCTGATCCTAGGAACCCTTAACTCATTCCAACCAGGTTGACTATGTAGGCCGCACAAACTATATTCACCCAAGCAAAAGTCACTCGGAAGTCAATTTAACTAATTCCTTATTTCATCTTCCAGCACAGAAGCCAAGACATCGGCGTTCTGAACACATTAAAGTGGTTCCTCCTACAGATTCTGGTGCCAATATTGACATCCTATGGAAGTTAATCGAAATTAATGTGCATAGGCTCGCATGTATCTAAAAGGAAAAAGGAGGCTAAGAATCTTGCCATGCTTTTACCCATCAAACAAGCTGTCGCACACTTGTACACAAAGCGCAGGCTGATTCGAGTTGGTATTTCACAGACACAAAAACTAACAAACCCCATCAGCATATGAAGATTATACTCACTTTGCTAAAGAGTAAGAGCAAAATAAAGTTGTTCTCATTGAAAAAATTTAGTCTGAATATAACAAGCAGGAGAAAGACAAAGAACAAAAGATATCGATAACAGAAAATGCCCGATGATATGTCATATAAGCTACATTCAAACAGAGTTGTCCTGACATCTTTAAGGCAGCATATAGGGTGGGGGGGGGACCTCTTTACAATTCATGCCCCTACTTCCCACCAATTAATCGAGTACGTATGCTCCTTTTCACTGAGTTCGGGGTTTTTTCGTTACGGAGTGAAACAACAATTCCCAAATGAAGAGCAACAACAGTTTAATATGTCCTTATGGATGGTCATGTTTTCCTTTAGTAGCATGCTGAGAACATCAATGTTTTTAAATCTACTAGACAAAAGAATTCTCTGATAATGCATACCTGGAAGCTTTGGCACCCCAAGTCTTTCACAGAACTCATCACAGAAGTGGTTGCAGTTTTTGGCTAACAAATCATAAGAACTTCCAGGCCACTCTCTACTAAGTTCCCGCAAGATCTGATTGACCTTGAAGATTGAACAGTTTGTACTCCCCAGGACAATGCATTCACGATATGTATACATTGGATTCTTTCCAGAAGGGCAACTAAAAACTCCAGTTCCTTGTTCACAGAACCCAAAAGACCATTCATCTTCTCCATATACCTGTCAAATGCGTAAGCAACAAATTTTTCATCCTGCCATATTTCTCTACCTAACTTAAATATATGTATATATGCATTTTATTGCTAGCATGTAAAATGCATAGAAAAGCCAAATCAAAATTGGTATACCAATTAAAAGAAATAGGGATATTCTGTGATGTCCAAGGTATTGCGTAAAGAAGAGGAAACATGACATAAGTACAAGCATTTAAAGAAAGCTCCCCCGCATGTATTGTTGGTTGGCATATAGCAAACCTTTCCATTCCATTTTCACTATGAAATAATCAATGACAAAGAAGCTTCACTTCACAGGCAAAATTATTAGTAAAAGTATGCTGATAAATTAAGTGAAAAATACATTGCTTATAAATGTCAATAGTAAGTGATAAGCCTCCAGTCAACAAACAGAAATTGTTCTTCAAGGGAAACAACACAAATAATTATATTAAAGTTTCTCGTAAAGAAATCATATCAAAGTTTCTCATGAAGAAACCATATTATAGTTTAGTTAACTTAAAAAAGGCTCTGCCCAACTACATTGGCTGAACTACAAGATAAATTTCTTCAATTCTGAAATAAAATCAATATATCTAAATTCCAAAAAAGGGTGGGAAACAGTTCGTCAAAATGTTCATACTTCCAGTTATCTCATACAGGAACTAAACTAAATTCCCGCTGTACCGTACGGGACATTGCTACTACAATCCATGACTTGTGGAAAAAAGAAAAGAGAGAATATGATGCCTTAGGACCTCCAATAAAATTCATCACAATCACTTAGCTTATACATTACTAGTTTGAAGAAAAATGGTTCAAAGAGTAGAATTAAGAAACAATAGGAGAACCTGAGCCTAAAACTAATCAAGTTTCATTAGGAAAATCATTAATAAGTAAAAACATAGAAAGGAAAAATGCTCCTTACTTTCCCAAGATATCATCTAGAAATTTCATCAGATTTAACTAATGTTGACCAAGCACACTGTTCACCGAACCCAATCATGGAAAGAGACAGTCGTGTAATCGAGAACTATTTGGCAACCGGTAGGAAGGTGAAAACTAGTAGCTAAAAAGTCACTGGCGAGGCGACTTTTATCCAAGTGATAAGAAAATGAAAACAAATGGAAACATATTCTTCATTGAGCCTTGAATCTCACTACAAAATTATTAAACATGTAGATACAAGTAAAAAACACAAGCCAAAACACAAAAACAGAAGCTGATGAAATCACTCGAAACTTACACCCATAAACATCTAAAATATACGGAAGAAAAGTGCTACTTAAGTAGGCCAACATTTCATCATATAGAAACCCTAGATCCATTCACAACCACAGAATTTCCACACGAGTGCATCGACCTATGAATGCATAACACCATACACAAACAAAGTACATACATGCAGGAATAGAGATCGAGAGAGAGAGAGATAGAGAAAGGAGAAACCTGAACAGCGCTGTGAAAGATTCCACCGAGGCCAATACCGTCCTTGAAGATTTTGTTGATCTGAACAATGGTGCTGTTCGTCTTCTCCGATCCACTATTCGTCACGTCATATATATGCAGTATAACCTCTGTCATCTTCACACCAAAACACCAACCCTAACCTCTCAACTCTTAACTCCCCTCTGTATATACCTAAGAATCCCAATTTTCACGGCAAGTACCCTGACACCTCCGTCCCTGGCTAAATCTTCTATCTTCTCTCTCACTTTCCCTCTGATAAAAAAAAAAAAAAAAAGCGAACAGAACCGTAGGTTTCAATTCAAATCTACTGCTACTGTCATTTCTTCTTCTCTCCACTTTGCTTCTCTTCTATTCTTCTCCCTCTAAATTCGAAATTTCATTTTTAAAAACTTCAGTTAATTAATAAGAATAATTTTTGCCTCGGTTTCCTAAATTTCTAAAATTGAAAAAAGGAGTTTCAAATCGTAGCAGGAACTGTAAAAAGGTGAGGGTGTGTAGATGAAATCTCAAATTTACCCCTCGATTTAGACCGAAATTACGAAAATACCAAGTGTGTTTATTGGAGGGAAGGATTCTTAATAATGGTGGGCATGACGATGTGGGGCCCAGTTATCCATCTTCCTCTAATCATTTATCAACCTTTAGTCACCGACAGATGCCTTAATGAAATTACCCTTCTGCCCTCCATTATGCTTCACTTTTTATTTAAAATAGTACCAGCCTGTGACTTAAATTTTTTTTTAAAAAATATTTCTATATTTAATTTTTTTAATATTTGATTTAGATAATTAATATTTTCTTTTTCTGACGGTTATTTTATATTTACCTTTGCATGTTAAATTATTTTTTCACAAGTTTAATATTTTTTTTCTTAAATAATAATAATTAAACAAATCATAACCGATAAAAGATTATAAAAAAATAATATATTTTATTTTGATAGAATTGATGATTTAATTTATTAATATATTATTATGATTATAAATAATATATATTATAATTTAAAATATTTACAAAAAAAGATATATATATATATATATTTTTATGTAATATGCTGTTATTTTTATAGATTTCATAAAGAAATCTTTTTGTGTTGCACGTTTATAATTAAAAGCAACATTTTTATATGAGCTTTAGGAAAAGGAAGAATTTTTTTAAGGCAATTTTAGAAATAAATTCCAAAAAGTTCTAAAATTTATTTATAGATTAAAAAAGATATTACTAAAAAATTATAAAAAATATATTATATAATATAGAATTTTATGTGGTACATAAAATCATCATTGTTAAAGCCTCCATGTATTTGTATAAGTTAAAAATTAAACTAATTAAGATTAGGAAAAACAAAATAAAACATTACTAGAAAAACCACAAATTTAAGGTTAACTTACAAAGTATAAAGGTAATTTATTTTATTTAAATTATCAAATAAGTATTATCGACTTAAAATATATATATATATATATAGATACGCTTTCATCTTGATTTGTATTAAGTAAAATTTTGATATAATATATGATTCAACTTGAATCTACAATTTTATAAATAATAATAAAATTATTAACTCTTTAGGAAAGAAATAGTGGTAACACTGTTTAAATACGGCTTTGAGTCATATTGTCTAATATAAATATAACTACTGCTTTATCTAATTTTTCTGTTGTTGACAAGAAAAAAGAAATTAAAACAAGAAAGAACCAAACAAGCCTTAAAAGAAGTAGAAGTTCAAAACCTACTTCAAAAAGTTCCAAGGTGAGGGGCAAAGGTAGATTAAAAATGAAAACTGAAAATTTTGAAAATTTGATATTGTTTCTTTCATATATTTTTTATATATTAGATACATGGTATTTACACCCATATATACAGACTTGCTCCTAAAGAATATGATATTAAAAAATATAAATTTATATAAAAATCTAATCACAATAAATTAGGAGATAATTCTGATAATTTCCTACACTCTCCTTCAAGTTGGTCCATAAGTGTCTTGCATGCCCAACTTGTTTAAAACTTGATGGAAGATTTTACTTGATACAGCCTTGGTGAGAGTGTTGGCAAGTTGATTTTGAGATCGAATATGAGGAACTTCAATTACCCTTGCTTCCGGTTAATCTTTAATAAAATATCGGTCAATCTCCACATGTTTTGTTCGATCATGTTGAACAAGATTATGAACTGTGTCACATACGGCCTTGTTGTCGCAATATAATTTCATAGGAAATATTGGTGTAAGCTTAAGTTCTTGCAACAAATTTTTAATCCATAATAGCTCACACATACCTTTAGCCATATCTCTATATTCCGCTTCCGCACTAGATCTGGCTACAACTTCTTGTTTTTTGCTTCGCCATGTAACCAGGTTTCCCCAACAAACGTCAAGTATCCTGCAGTTGAGCGCCAATCATCAATTGAACCAGCCCAATCTGCATCAGTATAGGCTTCAATGGATATAGTATCTCCCTCAGTGAACATAATTCCTTTATCCAAAGAAGACTTCAAATATTACAAGATACGTATCACGACCTTCATATGTTCTTCACTTGGAGAGTGCATAAATTGACTTACAACACTAAAAGAGTATGCCAAATTAGATCTAGTATCTGAAAGATACATCAACCATCCTACCAGCCTTTGATAACATTCTTTATTCGCAAGAATCTGATCTAAAAATGTACCTAACTTGATATTTTTTGCAGCAGGTGTATCACTTGGTTTGCAAGGTAGCATGTCAACTTCATTCAGTAAATCGACTATATATTTTCGTTGTGATAGGAATATACCATGTTTAGATTATAACACTTCGATTCCCAGAAAATACTTTAATGGTCCGAGATCTTTCATTTCGAATTCACGAGAGATAAGTCTGCAAAAACATGTTCAAATCGCTTGTGTCACAACCAGATATTAGAAATAGATCTAGAACTGGTAACTGATAATGACTAAGCCAATGTGCTTAAACTAGATGTTGTGGGATCAAGATAATAGAGCTTTCATTTTCTAGTACCACACCTAATCGTCTTCCTTGTTTTGTTGTCCTTAAAAACACAATAATGAGGCCAAAAAATTACGACACAATTCAAAGAAGTTGTGATTAGAGAAACTGATATCAAATTAAAATCAAGAGAATGAACTATTAAAACAGAATCTAAATTTAGCTTATCTAGAGAAAACGAACTTTTACCAATAACTGTAGCTTCAGTTCCATTGGTTGTAAACACAATAGATTTTTCATATGGTTTTCGACTTTGACAAAGAAGTAGTATCAAAGGACATATGATCAGTTGATCTAGAATCAATAATCCATGTACAAGATCCAATAGAAGCAGGGTCGATAAAAAGCTTACCTTGTGAATCTGAGGATGTGTGGAAGGTTGTAGCATTAGGTGGAGATACTTCATCTGTAGTGATGGAAACAAATATTGTTGCTATTGAAAGCTTATTTTTACATTTTGAAGCCTTGGAAGGGTCCCACCATTCAGGATATCCAATCAAGTCTTAACATCGACTTTTAGTATGTCCCGTATCTCCACAATGAGTACAGTATATAGATGAGCTAGACTGCTTATTTCCAATATCAAAACTTCGAGATGTCATCATTGACGAAGGTGAAGCAGTACCAGTGTATAGATGGTTTGTTTCGACGAGCTAACATGGCAATAGGATCAGAAGCAGTCATGTCACCAGTCAGGAGACTTCGACGATTTGCTTCACGGCGAACATATGTATATGTGCGCTCAAGATCTAAACTTGGGTTCATGCGAAAGATTTCTCCTCGCACTTGTTCAAACTCCACGTCAAGACCATTCAAGAATATATGTATCCTCAATTTCTCAACAGATGCTTTATACATAATAATATTATCAGGATCTTTCATTTTAACTTTGTCACGATAATCAAGTTCTTGAAATATTTCAACTAGTTCACCATAATATATAAGAAGAGAACGACTTGGTTGACGAAAAGAAAAGGCACATTGATTAAGAGCAAAGATTTGAGTTTCATCCGATCCGTCATAGAATGCCTTAGTAAGAGCAGTCCAAATTTCATGCGCAGTACATAACCAGCTTTTGACTTTTGATTTTCAGCATACCATTTGGAGTAAGATGGGTCATTTGTTTCGGGCTGAGGTGAGTCACCAATGATATAATCAAGTTCCTCACGACCAGCAATGTGCATTTCCATGATCTGGGACCATATGTCATAATTGGTTTCGGTGAGGATTATATCAAATCTCATATTTTTATGTATAACAGGGGAGGATGATAAAATGGTTGATTTGGTGGTGTGTTTTGTTGATTCAGTAGCCATGGTTTGTAGGGATGATTCGGTTGGTACGGTATTGAGGGATAATTCACAGAGTTTGCAGGGACTTAGAAACCTGATCTAATACCATGAAAGTTTGGGAAATTTGATATTGTTTCTTTCATATCTTTTTGATATATTAGATCAATGGTATTTATAGTCATATGTATAGACATGTGCTTGGAGAATAGGAGATTAAAAAATAAAAACTTATACAGAAATCTAATC